AACAGAAATGAGTAAAGATTACATAAACTGTATCTGCTTTCAATAAAGAGGGTCGCAATCTTAAGAGCATCTCAAAGAACGAGTGAGAGATGGACAGAGAGCGAGCCAATGAAACACTACCTTGCTGTGGGCTATTTGTGTTAGTAAGTAAGTTAAGTATAACCTCTTTAGCCTCGGCATACCAGAAAGAAAAAAAAAAACTCATTTTTTGATGTGGCTCTTCAATGAAGAAAAACAAACATGGATGTATTACAGAGGGCAGAGCAGCGCTGATTCCAAGAGATATGTGCGTAATTAGATTCATGCATTTTTTTCATGCCTTTTATTAAATTATAGGGAGTTTCAACAATATTTTTGTAAACTGAATTTCTCCCTCTTGGGTTTTTAAACATAAGAAATGGGAGACTGTAGACTGATGATGAATGATACTCTTAAAGAAAAGACAAGTGTGAGAGAAATGTTACAACTGAAAACTTATTCAAAGAGAAATACTAGTTCAACTGAGACAATTAAAGGAATAGATCACCCAAAGATGAAAGTTTGCTGAAATGTCCTCACCCTCAGGTCGTCCAAGATGTAGATGATTTTGTTTCTTCATCAGATTTGGAGAAATGTAGCACTGCATCACTTGCTCACCACTGAATACTCTGCAGTGAATGGGTGCCGTCAGAATGAGAGTCCAAACAGCTGATAAAAATCACAATAATCCACAAGTAATCCACAGTCTATCAATTAACGTCTTGAGAAGTCAAAAGCTGTGTGTTTGTAAGAAAGAAATCCATCATTAAGGTGTTTTAACTTTAAACCATTGCATCTGGACGAAATATGAGTCTATAATCAATAATAACACTTCCTCCAGTGAAAAAGGAGTGAAATCTGCACAGATCAAGCACCGTTTACAAGCCAAAACAGTCCAAAACAGCTCTAATATGTGGCTGGATTTTGATGAGAGAGACAACAGGAGATGGACTTTTTCACTGGAGGAAGTGTTATTATGGATTATAGATTCATATTTTAGCCAGAAGCGACGGTTTGAAGTTAAAAATGTCTTAATGATTGTTTCAAACACGCTTTTGGCTTCTCAAGACATTAACTGATGGACTGGAGTGGTGTGGATTATTGTGATGTTTTTATCAGCTGTTTGGACTCTCATTCTGACGGCACCCATTCACTGCAGAAGATCCACTGGTGAGCAAGTGATGCAATGCTACATTTCTCCAAATCTGATGAAGAAACAAAATCATCTACATCCTGGATGGCCTGAGGGTGAGCAAATTTTCATTTTTGGGTGAACTATTCCTTTGTGGACCTTGTCCCTAAAATGATTCATTTCAATATTTTTGTGTCTCATTGATTAATTAAATGTTTGTATTTTACCAGGTAGTAAAAAATGAGCTCAATGCCGTTTTACTCAGTAAGCATTTACTATTTAGCATGCAAACATGTGCTGTTGCTAGTTAATGGTTAGTGCTAACCATCAACAGCACATGATTGCATGCAAAATAGTAAATGCTTACTGAGTAAAGCAGCATTAAGCTCATTTTTCACATACCCATCCTCAACCTAAAAGCTTCACTTGTGTGTGTGTGTGTGTGTGTGTGTGTGTGTGTGTGTGTGTGTGTGTATTTCATTGTTGGTTTACTGAATTCTATGGTGCAGGACATTTAAAAGCAATAATTCAACTAAAAATTTTAATTCTGTCAACATTTACTCACACTTATGTCCTTCCATACCTGTATGCTAATATATTATTCAGTGGAAAACCGTTCATGCCAACATTGCCATACAAAAACACTTCAAGGCAAGGCTGTCAAGCTGTAAAATTACAAAAAAAGTTGTCAACACAACTTGAAACTTGTATGGTACACTTGTATAGAGTGTTGGGAGTAATAACGCATTTTTGTAGGCCAAACCAGAAGTTCGCATCACCCTGATTCTCTCAACAAAAACCCAATAGGATTTTTCTACTGGCTTTTGGATTATTGCAGAATATAAGCTCTGTGACCAACACAATTTTATGATTCTTACATGTTCATGATAATCTACCCAAACGAACACAACTTTTGATGAATTTTGAAGCCTAAATACAATCGACAAAAGTGAAAAGCTAAACGTAGGCTATAAACGAACAACATCACAGTCCCACGACTTCAACATCACCATTAAGCTTCTGACAAATCTATATACAAAATATTTTCCCTGAAAGTTTAAGTTAGAATAGTTTGCAAGAGCGCAACTATAAACAACCTGTTCAGTCTGATGACCCTTAATGTCCACGACAACCTCTGCAGTCCTGTTTAGCCACTTGTTAGCAAGTAAAAGCTTCAAGGGGATATTAATGATGTATTTTATGTCATCGAATAAAACGTGAAAATATCTTGAGCTTGTGTTAAACATAGACCTTATTTCATGCATTTAACCAAACACCCATTTAAAAAAAAATTGACTTCAGAACAATGGAGCTGGAAGTTTAAAAATGCAACTCGTTTCTGGGTTTTGGCCTAAAATAATATATTATCCCTACAGCACTCTATTCAAAGCTCTTAATTTGTCCGTATAGCTGCTGGCAAAGGCATTTGGAGGAAACTCTATCGCCCCCTCGAGTACTGAAGTTCATTACCACCATTGTAACTCAATGGGACCACACACCTACAATGCAGCATTGTTGAGTCATTTTCATATCCCCAACTTATATTGGAGCATGACCAAACATCTCTCTATGGCCACTTTTACTTTGTTTCAGAGGATTGCATAAAGTCTTCAGATGTTATCATGCATTTTAAAGATGGCAGAATACAGAATTAGACAACAAACACAATGAGTTTTAATGACAGTACTGTACAGTTGACAGTGTGTTTGAGTGCCGTTGACTCTGCATGCTCAAATTCAATGCTAACACGTAATACCGCTGCAAACGTTAGCAGGAAGAAAGTTAACATGCATAATACAATTCAACCGAAGTATTATATTAAGGTTATCAGGCAGATAAACTGGCAGTAACATTTGTGTGCATTAATAAAAGTAAAGTTTGATCATTGAAATTACAAGAAAAGCCACAGTTGTCACAGAGATTTTATGGTAAGAGTGTAGTGTTTTTACCTTATGATTTGACTTAGGGTCAACTTCTATGTACTATTTACTTTCTAAAAGCATGCTTCTGATGCACAAAATGTTTAATCTAATAACTTGCTCCGCATCTGAATCATTGCTGACGTCACAAATGCCTCCAACCACTTTGCTCCATTTTGCTAAGTAACGCCCACTTTTCATGATCCAGGTGGTTCAAATCAAGTCTGACCTCACTTTTCTCTGTTCTGTTAGATTACAGAGCTAAAATGCGTTTTGTGCATCACTTTATGTTGACTTTAGGTGTGGGATTTTAAATATTGGTATCATTTGCACCTGCTTGTGCTCAAAAACCAAAGGAAAATTCCCACCGCACAGCGATCATAAGTTCAAAACAAATTCATTCATAAACAGCAGAGTGTTTTGATTATTCGCCTTTAGTGGTTGCAGCTATATTATTGTAGCCTTTAAAATCTACAGTGATAAAAACTCATGCTGACTTTTTAAAGAATGAACCTGTTAGGCTTCATTACGAGTATTGTCAGTTCTGTCAGTCATTGAAAAAAAGGAACAGGGAGCAAAAGTTTGCAGTGGTCTGCCTTGAGCGCACGGCTTATTGCGTCATTTATCCTGTAAAACTCAATTTTCTCCATCCACGCTGAAGCCGTAACTGTTGCCTAACCGAACAAAGCCACGTATTATAGCAGACGGGTCGCTCCCAGCCGTTTCGGACGGCATGAACAATCGGACGGCACCAGACAAGCGCGTCGCTTGGCAGCTTCAGAGTCAAACAGAAAGGCTTCACTTGGCCTGTGTTTGAGTCCAGACTCCAGGGTGGTCTGTTTTATTCTCTCACGCATCGAGTCTTTCCCTTTAGCCCGCTGCCAGTGCTGTCTCACGCCACCCGTGCGGTAATAATGTACGGAAAGAATAACAGCCACGATACATTACCGCTTCATAGCCGAACGCCTGCGCACACAGAAGAATAATAAACCAGATTCCACATGCACACGGCTCATCATCTCTCCAACTTTCAGAAGACTTTCCTAATACTCTGTGCTATATTCTTTCCGACAGGTGGACGGTGTAAAATTGCCACCAATCACAGAAATTGCAACTGATTTTGCCAACATAGGACATCAATTGAGGAACCGATAAAATACCTGTAAGGAACAGCCACCCAAAAATAAAAATCACCCTCGTGTCATTCCAGATCTGCATGCTGTTTTTGCATGCACAATACAATATACACGATATATTTTCTATATAGTGTGAGAATTGTGTAATAAAAAGTCGCAATTACCCATTTTATTTTGTTTTTATTTTGTGGCAGAAACGGGCTTTCACATTCAAGACCAAAACATTTTTTTTAAATAAGACTTGAATGAGTTTTGAGAGCTTCAAAACTTTTTGTCTGTTCTTCAGACAAAACTATTGCACAGGAACAAATATGCAATATATAACACAAATCTACTTTAATGGTGCTTTTTTGTCCTTACTTTAACAGTGACTGAAAAATGTAGCCAAGTTCAATTGAAATGGAAGTGGCGACAGATTTTTTTCTCCTGTATTGTCTGTTTGGAGGAGTTTTACTAGAACACCCAGTTATGACATTTTGATTAAACATATCAAAAAATAAACAAATAAATAATAAAAAAAAATGCATAGACCAGGGGTGTCAAACTTAATTCCTGGAGGGCCGGAGCCCTGCAGAGTTTTGTTTCAACTCTGCTACAGCACACATACCATGTAGTTTTCAAATAAGCCTGAAGGACTTGATTAGTTGGATCAGGTGTGTTTAATTAGGGTTGAAGCTAAACTCGGCAGGGCTCCGGGCCTCTGGCCTTCCGGGAATTAAGTTTGACACCCCTGACATGTTCAAGATCTATAAAAAAGCATTTCATGCCAACATTAAGTCTGCTGATTTTTCTGTCCTAACCCTGCACTATTATAGTTTGTTGCATTTATTTATAGTTTATTATTTGCGTTTAGCATTGTTTTTCCCACTGCTTTTCCCTGACAGAGCAAACCTGCAAACCACCAGGTGAGAACCGCTGTTCTTGACTTGTTCTTTTTGTTTGTTTGAAATCTTTTTAAACATTTAGTAAATCAGTGGTGGTGAACATCAGTCTTAAATATATTTCCCCACGGCCCGCGATGCAGGATTTGTTTCTTGCGTTATGAATCTTCAGGGGCACATAATTCTCTACATGGGTTTTGGATGACGTCATCTGAGCCCCATTTCAAAACATAAAAACAAACAGTTTTATGCATTTTACACTATTTTATGGCAGTATAATTCTTAACGCGGCATCTCGCCGCTCCGCAAGGTGGGTCTTTGAGCTTTTCGAATGTGTTGATGTCTCATATTTTATGCACAACACATTTATTACCTTTCACACCGGGGTTTCTCTGCAGCACTGGTCATGCTGCAAGAATGCGCTTTCCTTTGGGTTTTTTCTTCTCTCCCAGCCGTCTTGAGTAAAAGAAGGCAATAATAAACTTCTCGTGGGACCTCCGTGTCAATGCAATAACAGGGATGAATGTTTTGTTTGTTTAATGATCAGCTCCGAAGCATTTCTAGATTAACCGGGATAAGGTAGCCTACACGTAAACCGAACACGGGCACTTTGTCTCCATAAACCTGTGTGTTTATGGTTCATGTGCCTCCCTGTTCTCCAAAAACATGCATATATTCTTGTTTATCAGTTGCTTTACAATCATTTTGCCTTCACTTTTAGCTCTCCCTCTGTGTAATGATAAATCCTCAGGTGATATAGTTAGCTTCATCATTTATGAACCCCTTCTGGATCAGATACAGCTGCTGCAAAAACAAGTCAAATGTTTTGAAGAGAAGTTTGATGGTGCTTCAAACAGTTTGAGTGTTTCTGATTGAGATGTTGAAATTACCGCTTTACTTTATAGATCCTAAAACTTTTGTATGCTTAAGTTTCTTTTTTTTTTTTTTTTTTTTTTGATATTTTCATTCTTTATTAATCTTTTCGAATAAACTCCGACTCTGGAGTCTCTCCGTGGTGAGTGACATTGTTTTTGTTTCTCTGCCAGAGTCAATCCGTGCAACATCATTAAACTAAATGACCGGAAGCTTTTCTTCAGTAACCTCAACCACACACATCACGAGGGGTTAAAATAGCCCAAAAAAACTCCGGAAAGAAAAAATGATTGGCAGTTTGTTTCTCAATCCGGTCCATGCATGTGCTCCAGTTTGATCCAGCACATACATTCAGGTCTTGAGCAAGAGTTTTCACTTAAAATACCATTTAGCAAGGAAAATGCTTTTACGTTTTCGTTGTTAATGTTCTTATTTTCCAAAACCATGAACAAAACTACACTATAAAGTTTTCTGTGAAAAGATGGCTGTTTTACAAGAAAATGCGATTTCAGTTGCTCTACTTCAAAATTTCACGTGTAATTCAATGTGTTACTTGCTGTTTCTTTGTAATTGTTTGTGAAATTTAGCAATTTCTGAGTGAAAACTGTCTCTACACTTTTTTTTTTTCATTGTTAAATACAATAAACATGGCTTGTGTTGATCACAATGTGAGGTGAATTACTGACTGTTGAAAACCATGCGAAGTTCAACTGATGTTTAGAAACCAAACACTGCAAGCACTTCTGTTGTTTATGCATTTATAAAATGTCAGTTTTGCTCATGGGAAATATTTTCTCTGCAGTTCATGGATGGATATAACGTTTTCGTTGTTAATGTTCTTATTTTCCAAAACCATGAACAAAACTACACTATAAAGTTTTTTTTGAAAAGATTACTGTTTTACAAGAAAATGCGATTTCAGTTGCTCTACTTCAAAATTTCACGTGTAATTCAATGTGTTACTTGCTGTTTCTTTGTAATTGTTTGTGAAATTTAGCAATTTCTGAGTGAAAACTGTCTCTACACTTTTTTTTTTTCATTGTTAAATACAATAAACATGGCTTGTGTTGATCACAATGTGAGGTGAATTACTGACTGTTGAAAACCATGCGAAGTTCAACTGATGTTTAGAAACCAAACACTGCAAGCACTTCTGTTGTTTATGCATTTATAAAATGTCAGTTTTGCTCATGGGAAATATTTTCTCTGCAGTTCATGGATGGATATATAAATGATGACAGACAGGTTTACAAAGCATTTTCACTGCATGTTCTGCTGAGTTTGGCACACTACACTTAGAAATAAAGGTTCTTTATTGGCTTTGATGGTTCTATGAAGAACATTTAACATCCATAGAACCTTTCCATTCCACAAGAGGTTCTTTATAGTGGAAAAAGGTTGTTCAGATTAATTAAATATTCTTTACAATCAGGAAAAAAATGGTTGTTACACTCTTAAAAATAAAGGTTCTGAAAGAGGGTTTTCGGCTTGCAGTGATGCCATAGAAGAACCATTTTTGGCTCCCCAAAGAACCTTTCAGTGAACGGTTCTTAGAAGAACATTTTTTTTTTTATTAGTATAAAGAACATTTTCATAATCTGAAGACCCTTTTTCACTATAAAGAAGCTTTTGGGAAGTTTCCATAGATGTTAAAGGTTCTTCAAAGAACCATCAATGCCAAGAAAGAACCCACAGTTGACCCCCATTGGATTATATGCAATTTGTCAAAAATCAACACTTTGAAAAACACTGAAGAGTCGGATAAAAAAAAACCTGAAAATCTTTATTGTAGTTTCTCAAACACTCAAATATGAGATTGCATTAAATTTAATACTCAAGGTTGACTTGAAATTGAGACTTGTGTTCTGAATCATTCATGGAAAAAATCACAGTTTCTTATATTTGAGTTTCACAGTCAAAAAAAATGCCGATTTTCATTTTTTTTGGTTGGTTGGATCTCAATTACTAGACTGCATGTTGCAACACTGAAAAGAAGTGTGTGAAATCAATTTTACCCAGCGATAAATACGACTTACACTAAGTACAAATCAAGTAAGATATTTATACTTTAAGTTATTTGCACCTCAGTGCACAAACAGTCACTACAAGTAATCATAACCAAAAAAAAACATACAATTTTTGTCTTTTGTCTGTGCAACTAATTTTGAATATAAAAATGTGTGGGTCAAATTGACCCCTAACAACAGAAATGAAGGGAATTATTCAATTTCTCATATATTTGATGTTTCTTTTTAGTCTCAGACAGCTACAGTAGAGGTTTTCTGCTTTTACATGAATATTTAGTGTTTTTCATCATGCTGATTTTTGGCAAATTGCATGGAAACCAGTTTGACCCCCAACACAGCTTTTGAACACAACAGGATGGTTAATAACTTTTCACCGAAAGCTTCTGTGGGAAACCCCAAACGGTTCTTCTATTGCATCACTGCATAAACCTCCTTTTGAAATCTTTATTTTTAATCTTACCGCCAAAACTCCAGTTTTACTGCTGTTTCTGCTACTCCGATTTGGCTCCAAAGTGAACATAAATCAGTTACGCAATGCCTAACATGTTACCTGCAACCGCCAGAAGAGCTGCTAACCGAAGTATCCCACTGAAGTATATTTTCTTGTAAAACATACTCAAATAATCTTTATTTACAATTTCGAAAAATTCTTTTTGAGAGTGTACAACAGGAGTAAACGGGACCGTGCACATGTGAAGCTCATATTTTTGTTAAAGCACATGTAAAATGTGCTATTTCTACTCTAAAGTTATTAAAGTGATATTTTTGGTGGGAATACCATTCTAGATGAATGAATTCTAGTTTTTAGCACATATTTTAAATGTAGAAAGCCTTTTTTTTTTTTTTTTTTTTTGCTTACTGGGTTTATTGATTTTGCACATACATGGTTACTAAGCAATTATAAGTGCATAATGTTTAAGACTTGTGGTTATACACGTTATAACAATTTGTATTTATTTGATCAAAAGCAGAGTAAAAAAAAAACTTTAACCATTTAAAATAGCCATTTTCTGTGTGAATATTTTGTAAAATGTAATTTATTGCTGTGATCAAAGCTGAATTTTCAGCATCATTACTCCAGTCTTCAGTGTCACATGATCTTCAGAAATCATGCTGATTTGCTGCTCAAGAAACATTTCTGATTATTATAAATGTTGAAAACCGTTGTGCTGCTTCATGTTTTTGTGAAAACTGTGATACATTTTATTTTTCAGGATTCTTTGATGAACAGAAAGTTCAAAAGAACAGCATTTATTTGAAATAGAATCTTTTATAACATTATAAATGTATTTATTGTCACTTTTGATCAATTTAATGCATCTTTGCTAAATAAAAGTATTAATTTCTATAAGTCCGGCAGTGTATATTATGCCATAAATGCTGTCAGTAGAGCTTAACCTGTATTGAACCTTTAGAAAGGCCGAGTCCCATAGAGGTCTGTGATGTGATGGTCGTATATCTGCGTCAGAGACATTCCCTTGATAGCAGCCAGAAGATCACAGATTCTCTTAAGCACACTTCAAAGGGTTAACCTGATCCCACAGCTCTGCACGAGCACAAGAGGTTAACGCAACGCTCCCTCAACATCAGCCTGAGACGTGAGGAGCTGTGGGAAAAATGTGAGGTAAAGACAGCGCGGTCAAAGCGGAGAGATCGCAGTCCTGTTCGCTCAAAATTACCTTCAATAATGAGACGAGTCTGAGGAGGTTTAGAGAAGTTTTACAAACAACTTTTATTTTAAAACTATAATTTCAACGTAAACATGACCTTTGACCCAAGGTTTTTCATGCAGTTATTGTTTCAATCTAGCGTAACAGTGGGTAATAAACGTTATATACATAGCAGTGAAGTAAAAACAGGCTCTTGTTGTACTTTTATGGCCACATGATTAAGAATCCGTCAATCATTCGTTTCATTAGTGTGATTAGTGACGGCGATTGACTCATCTGTACATCTCACAGGCCTTCAACAACAGTGTATGATCACAAAATGATAATGCAAATTCACAAAACTGCTTGTACTTTTATGGCCACATGATTAAGAATCCGTCAATCATTCGTTTCATTAGTGAGATTAGTGACGGCGATTGACTCATCTGTACATCTCACAGGCCTTCAACACAGTGTATGATCACAAAATGATAATGCAAATTCACAAAACTTTATACATCTCTGTGCTGGCGTCATTGTGAACTGTGAAAATCTTACATTTGAGATGTTATAAACATGAAATATCAGTGTTTTTTCTACAAACATCACATGGAGAAAAAGTTTCGTCATTGACACCATTGGCGTATCACACCGATTATATTGATTCTGTTCACTAACAAATGAGAATCAAACACCAGGCAAGACATAAGACACATCTAAACGCCAACACAGACTGATCTGAATCACTGAATCATATGAATCTAACATTGACTGAATCACTGAATCTGTGAATCTAACAATGAGGGAATCACTGGATCATGCGAATCCAACAATGAGTGAATCACTGAATCATGCGAATCCAACAATGAGGGAATCACTGGATCATGCGAATCTACATCGAATGAATCACCAAATTATGCAAATCCATTATTGACCGAATCACTGAGTCATGTGAATCCATTACTGACTGAGTCACTGAATCATGTGAATCTAACATTGACTGAAT